CCTGCTGAAAATAGCAGAGTAGAAATAGAGAAAGAATAAGAAAAGGTAGTAAAAAAGAATAGGGAAGAAGAAGGGCTGACACGAAAAAGAGAAGCAGTGGGAAAACAAGAGAGAAGGAAAAGCGAAATAAGAAGGGTGGTACGTGGCGGGGAGGTGGAATTCGTATTGAAATAACATTGGATGATTGTGGTATTGTCAACCTTGGTAGTGGCGCGCGCCTTCTCATTTCTCGCCCCCTCTCCACTACGTTTGGTCCTCTTGCTTCCTCTCTGATCCCCTGCAATCGTATCCTTCCTCCCCTAGAACCCGTCCTATCCTAGCTCCAGTTCGGTTTAGGCACTAGAATGTAGGTGCTGATGGATAGAATAGATGGCTCTGCCAGGAGGGATGAAACAACACCTTGTTCCCACCGATTCTCCCCTCTTTTAGAGTTGCGACCGCCTTTTTCTCGCTCAATTCCTTCCCTGTTCGCTGTCCTCTGCTATTCTATTTCCTAAATGCGGCCAATAAAAACAACACCACGTTCTGCTACGAGAGCTACTACAGGAGGATTGAGAATACAGTGAATTATAAAAATAACAGTGCGAAACGGTCGAACAATCGGTTGATTCAATAGTCATTCATCTCATTTCTGCAGTTCGCGACCCCCTTCCTCTTCATTCATAGTGAAAACTGTTCACCGCCTCTCTTCAGTTCTCAATGCTTATTTATCTTCGCATTGTGAAAATTGTTGGAAAAAGAGACGAATGAAAAATAAGAACCACTTGGACATTTTGATGTCTTTTTAAAGAAATGGACAAAGTTCTACCTATATAATAATTTCTAGAATGTTTCTTAGAGAAAATTTCTTTAACCAAGTCGGAACAGGGGCAATTCCATTATCTCTGGTCCGTACAAACTTCTGAATTCTTCTCTCTTGTCGTTTTGACCGATGTTTTCCTTCTTTTTACCGACATTCCACACAGATTTTCTCCCTGTTTTCGCGGCGTTCTTCTTCTCCCTTACCTCTCGAATTCTTCTCTTCTTCTTCTTCCTCCCCTTCGTGGTGCACGCGAGTACACGAACGCCTACTCGCCTCGGCGAAGTCAAAGAGAGATAAAATCTATAAATATGTGGGAGGCGCACGCGACCCATTCCAGTGTTTGTTCAACCAAGAATAACCTCAGTTTCTTCATCGTACGCAGAACCCCGAGAAGAGGCTGGTTTTGTGGCTTAACGCAAGCCTAATCCAGGGTGATGCTTCGTTAACCACCTCCGGTGAACAACTACCGAAGATTGTCAGTATCGGTCTGTTTCGCGAAATCACCATGGATCAATGTATGCGTGATACCTCTTCCTTTGACGTGAGCGGAAGTTCCAATGGAACGTCATATATCGGGAACATTAGGGCCAACATAAGTTCCTCGAATGCAATGAAACGTGACATCATGGAAAGAGAAGAAGTAGGAGGTTTCTATGAAGAAAACATTATTTTTAACACGCGTGTTATTAAATATCACGAAATGGAGATTATGTAATGAGAAGGTGTAAACTTTTCATTAAAAAGGTATATTTAACAGGATTAGTAATATATTTAATAATACCTCTTTCTTTTAGATTCACACTAATTGATGCATTTCCTGTCATGTTCTCGATCCGATATTCAATCATCCACCGGTGGAATTCGAACAATTTGTCGACGCAAGTTTGGAACGCATCACGGGATTCTCGTTCCGCCGGGAGCAAAAGTTAGTTAGCTAGATGTAAGCCGGCAGCAGAAAGGAATTAGTTGGTGGTAAACACACCTCATCAATCTTCCTCGAACGTCATCATTTTGTTCATCATCACGACATGGTGTACTGAGGATCTGAAATACCCGGGACACGTGTCTCCATTAAAGTGGCGCCCACTAAGAATC